TATGTTTAGCAGAATCCCCAAAGCCTCTTGGCACACGGTATAAAAGGACATGGCTTTTATCTGACTTTATAAATGGATCCAGGGAAGTGGGACAGAATTGATGCTATCCAGGAGAAGAGAGTCAGCACCACATTTTTTATTTTTATTTTAGGGGGGTGGAAATCATTGCAAATTGTGGTCTAAAATGGGGTAAATGCCCAATGCTGAAGCCAAACATCCCTTCTGAGGGGCTTTGCTCAGCACAAGCCCATCCTTGGCACTCACCCCTGGCACTTCAGGGTGCCTTCCCTGCGCAGGGGAAGAAGTGTGACTAACATCCTCCGGGACTTGTGACATCCTTCCCTGGTGGAGCCGCGTGCCCTGCTCATTGTCTTGGCGCAGAAGGTCAACAGTTGTGTCATCACAGCCACATGTGCAGCCCCGCAGGTTAATGTCAGTGATGAGGATGCTCCCCAGGCACTATGGGGAGCAGGAGTGAGGTTTGCAGTGGTCCCTGGTGCCCTTTGGGGAGTCCCCAATGGGGTGGGGTGGCCCAGGGAAGGCCAGGTCTTGGCTGGGGAAGCTATGCTCATTTTGCTCCTCATGCACTGAGTCTGGAGCTGGCAAAACATTTTTAGAGGTTGGTACTCCTGCAAACTAGTATTTGGAGCCAGTGAATGCCCACCCAGTTATCAGGTCACTTCTTCTAAGCAGGAGACGACAACGTGGGTAATGCTCAGGTCTCCCACCCATTTATATGAAAGCAATATTTTGAAGAATAATGACCAAGTAAAAGACATCAGGATCTGTCCCACTGCCCTTTTTTAGAAGGCACTTGTGTTGTTCCTCGTTCAAGCGTGAAATTGAATTTATCCTTTCCCCCAAGAGTATGTTTCGGTCATCCCACAGAGAGACCCCGGAGCTCTTGGGACACCAAACATGCTGTGCTCACCCTACTCCAAAATATCCTCTTCTTACACACCCCATCCTGACTTTCTGGCTTGGATAGCCAGGATGATGGGTTTGTGCTTTCATGGGGGTGTGCAGTTTGCTGGCTGGGACTATGACCCCAAAAGGGACCCATCTTGCTTCTGTGTCCCTGTGGGTGTGCATCCCAGCTCAGTCCTCACAATTCACCCCAGCCCCGGGGTACCTAGGGGTCTGTGCTACTCAAAGCTCACGCTCCCATCTGCGGGACAGGCACGGCGAACTTCAGAGGCAGCACGTGTCGCCCAAGTCTGTGCGGAGGGGATTTTTGTGGTATTCACAGACCGTTTCATGTGTCAATGTGAGAGGAGCGTAATTACCAGCTGAGAAACTGCAGGAAATAAGCCAAGGTTGAGCGAACGAAATGGAAAATAAAGAGAAGTGCAGAGGACACACACATTTTAAAACTATTACGGAGGTATGCATTCACGTGCTCGTGGGAGCCTGGGAATATATAAGAGCTCATGACTGCGAAGGAATGAATTCAAGGACCGGTCTATGGGGAGTATTTTTTTTTCCTGTGACTTCAAACTTCTCTCCGAGCTCGCAGAGTTTTAGTCAGCTGGCATGCAACAGAGGTACGACTTCCCCAAGGAAACTCTTCCTCGGCTCGCACTGGAAAGGCTGCTGGGAGAGTCCGGGAGGCAGAAGGCTGCAGGCAGAGGCGAAACCACCTCCTCCTCCTCCTCCTCCTCTTCCTCCTCCTCCTCCAGCCACAGAGCAGGTACGTGGAGCAGCGCGTGAAGCCAGCTGGAAAGTTGAGCCGGGTGCCTTTCGGCTGCGGGAGAGACGCGGGCTTCGGTGGCTTAGGGCAGCAGCCTTTAAAAATATCGCAGATGAGGAAGGTACTGTATAAATAAAATGGGCTGTGTTTATGAATAGGCTGAGGAACTGGCTAAACACACTGTGTAAATGGCTCTATCCACACAGCTGTATATTTAATCCATTGGGGACTTGCGCTGCAGAGAGTTAGACCCTTTAAGTTAAGGAGGCACTGCTTAGTTTATAACAATACAGTTGTCATACTCCTGCTTTGTTTTTATTCTCTGTGTTAGCAGCGACGGAAGATGGGGAGATTTTTTTTTTTTTTCTTTCTTCATAGGACTTTAGTCTATTTATGGTGTTACTGCATTGTAGCGCTCTGAACCAGGAATGCTGCAGAGATCAGCATCGTGCGCTGATTAAATGCCACTCACCCAGCTCTCCGACACTGCGTCCTAATACAGCCTTGGGCAAATCACACCGTCCCGGGGTGACATGAAATGCTGCTTAGCTCGTCTGCTCCTCTTCCTATCGGTGCTGTCATTGGGCTCTCCCTGTTGGAGCACGAGGTGTGGGATGGCAGGGCTGCTTTTCTGCTCTGAAGATCCCGACAGCTTGAATGTCACCTTGGGTGAACGGGGACTTACTGAGAGTAGCTGCTTTGCTGCATCCGGGCTGTTATTACGAGGAATTGATGGTTAGACAATGTTTGGAAATGAAAAAAAGTTCTAGAAAATCCTGGTTTATATAAAAGTCATAGAAAATATTCTGAAGCCAAACTCAGTTGTATTTTTGATTAAAGTACACATATGTTTCCTGTAAATAGAAGCCAAAGTTTTGGCTTTCCGCAACAGTGGAAATTTGATTTATTTATTTATTTATTTTTACTAAGATGCAGTCTGTTCAGATTTAAAATTGTCTTGTTATTCTAAAATACTGAAATTCTCTGGTTTTAATAACAAAAAATATCATTCATCTCTCTTTAAAGCAGATAGTTACAGCTCAGTGACTGTATCAGTGCTTGGCCTTTTATTAAAACAGTGATGAATGAATTCACAGGGGGGGTATCAGTACCATGCAAGTCAAATATATCAGAAATAATTTTCCTCACTTTATCTCCTGTTGGACCCTATAAATTCAGTATGTCTTTTTCTCAAATACTGACTCCACTGTCAGTAAAAGAAAAATTGCTGAATTAAAAACTGATTTCTCTCTCTCTTTGCTGTGCTTAGATTAAGGCTTGTGAGAAAAAGTTCTGTTTGGGTTCCTGGATTTCAGTTTCTCCAGGAATTTTGTTCCCCAGGGAGAGAATTTCACATTTGAATACTTTCACCTTCAAGTGCCGGTTCGTTTCACTTTTTGTAGATGGAAGTGTTTGCATTTTCCCACCTTCTGCTGTCCCGTTGCCCAACCACTCTCTTCCAAAAATCTCTGGACTGAAGGGTTTCATGCAATTCTCATTCACTTTCATTTAGTCTCCTGGAGAGAGAAATAACTGAAGGTGAATAAAATGGGGGAACTGGCTAAACCCCGTGTATATTTGATGTCTGATTGAAGGGTGATGTCCCCCTGAAAATTATTGGTGGGCAAATGCTGTTGGCTGCCTGACCTGATCAAGGCACACACAGAGAGAGGAAAGTGTGGGAGAGAACAAGGGCAAGCAGCAGCTTCAAAAGCCAGGGGAAAAGGCATGATTTAAGCCTTGCAGGTGATGAAGGAGACTTGATTTGTGGACTTGACACTGGGGAGGCAGGAGGTTGAATGCAGATGGCACCAGCTAGCTGAAGCAGGAGACACTTCTCCTGGAGATGTTGTAGGGTCGCAGGAACTGGAGCTGTGCCTTCTTCTCAAAGGCTGTGGCTGAGGTTGGCATGGGCTATTTATTTTTTAATAGGGGTAATATTTATGTGGCCCCCAGCTCCCAAGTGGGATGAATCACCGGGGAGCTATTCCAGCCGAAGGGAGCAAGATTTGTCCGACTCCTGCCCTTGCAGTTCAGACCCACTTTCTAAGGCGGGAGTTTGTTTTGTTTACTTCTCTGGAGAGTTTGATTCATGCGGCTTGACACAGGACTCAACCCAAGAGCAGTGCCTTAGAAAGCAGCAGCGTTATGGATGGACAGACTCCAAAGGGTCTGAGAGTTCAAGACACATAATCGTCAAGACATATTCTTGTTTATCTGAAACCCTTGGGAACCTGCAACAAATTACGGATGGGCTCGTGAGAGCCAAAGACTGGGATTTGCTTTTCCTTCCCACTCCGGGCCATGCTGGGAAGAGGCTTTGGAGGAGAGGAGTGGTCCAAAGAGTCCCCCATCAGATCTCTGTGTTGGAGCCCTAATCCCCATGCCACATTGCCAGTTTTGGCTGATGTTGGGTGAAATCCAGTTGGTGTCTAGAAGCCGAGCAGGCAGTGATTTGCAAGGAGAACACAGGGAAATCAGGAAGGGCCCAGTCCCACAGTCACAGGTGCAAAGCCTTGGGCACCAGTGGGATGGGACAGCCCTTATCATCTTGTGCAGGAGGGCAAAAGAGCTTGATTTTCCAATCTGTTCAGTGGAGATGAGCCAATCCATCCGATGGAGATGACCCTTGTTCTACAGATGTGACTACCAAGCATATATTGAAAATGGGAAGTCAACCAAAGATATCAGGCTCTGAAACTATTTGTTTTCAGATCTCCTTTAGGAAAGGGGGCAGAGAGATTAAGAACACAGCGGATAATTTACAGAGTGGTTGGTGTGCCTCTAAGGCTGTGGTTTTAATGAAGCAAAGCCCTGGGCAACAGAATCAGTGCATGCCCTTCCCTCCTGCTTTGGCATTTGTTTCTGTCCAGGCTCATCGTCACAGTTCAGCTGGCACAGCTGCTTGGCCACTTGGTAAATCAGCCCAAGGAACAGAGCCATCTCTTAAAAAAAGCACCACAAAACCCAAAAAATCTGCTACTTTTTCCAGCTTCCCAAAGTGACCTGAATAACCAGGTGCAGGAGAACGGGAGACTGCAGCCATCCAGGACACTCGTTGTTGCTGGCTTATTTGTATTCCATCTCCAAATCCCAATCAAATCGAAATATGCTCTTTCCGAAAGTAAAGAAAGGGATTATTTTTTCTTCAAGACCTCAAATATTTGAGTTTTTTCATTGTAAAAGTGCTTGCATGCTGCTGAGGAGGCAAGGGATACTCAGGGGTGCCCAGGGCCAGGCCCAGAGGCCCCGGGCCCAGGCTGGAGCCCAGGAGGTGCCCTCTGCCCCTCAGGAAGCACTGCTGGGCTGGGCGGGTGCCGGAGCCCTGGCACGGGCTGCCCAGAGAGGGGCTGGGGGCTCCTCTTTGGGGATCTCCAGCAGCCGCCTGGACGTGGGGCTGGGCCCCCTGCTCGGGGTGGCCCTGCTGGAGCAGGGCTGGCACCACAGGGACCCACAGATGCCTGACACCACCAGCCACTCCGTGATCCTTTGACAAGGGAATCTGATCAAAAATAGTCCATTGAGAGCCCAGCCAAGAGGAACCTGCCCAGGATGGTGACAATCTCACTGGCAAAGAGTTCTGCTCAGAGCTAAACCTGATTTTTTCCATCCATCGCACCCAATCATGCCCTTTCCCACCCACGCGCTCACCACCACCTCTTCATAGCCTTTACGCCTCTCGTTGCAAAGCAAACAAGATGATAAGAGCCCGGCTCTGGTGTATTATTTCAGCCACAGGAAAAGTGCATTGCAACACTTCAGGTTCCTGCACTTGGGAGGCAGGAATGGGGAAATCTCTGTTAGAGCAGGTATTTTAGAAGCAGGTCTTAATTAGGCAAAGGAAGTGTGGAAACCAGCAATTAGACAGCTGCTCCAGCCCTAGAGGGCAGCACAAAATAATAAATAAAAAAGCGGAGCTCACAGGCAATCTGAAATCATATTCTGCTCGACAAAAGCGTCCCTTTTACAATGGGAATTTTTACAGGCACAACTGAACACTGTGTACTTACTGCCAGAAATCTGGACGTGTCCAGATGCTTGGACCTGTCTACCTTTATCAACCTCCCTAATTCCTGCCATGTGCCAGGGAAACCCCTGGAAAGCCTTTAAGTCAGGTGTGTCGTAGCTGGCTCTGAACCCCTGCCCTGCCATCAAACCGTAGCACACCGAGCAGTGGGGCTGTCACTAAGAGAAGGAGATACATCTTCCAGGACAGGTTTCAAGATGACGGGCTTCACTTTTAACAGCCGTGATTTTTAAGCCTTTAATCCACAAGCCCTAAAGATGCAGAACACGGTTTAGGTGCAGGGGTAGGAGGCTGCAACCCCTCAGGAATGCAACTCGCAGACACAAAACCCTAAAGTAAACACACCGCCCGCACCGCGCACGCAGCTAAGCAATGGCATCGGCAGCGATAAGTCACTTATTCCCCGGGGCCTGATCCCGACAGCTTCTCTGGCAAAAATCCCCCCGTTTCTCAACGCCTGCGAGGACCTCAGGATGCCGCACAGTAGCTGAGTCTGCTCAGAGCACACAGCGGTGGCTAGGACCCAGCAAGAGCCTGGAGAGGAGTCCGGAGGAAGACGAGCAACTTAATTTAAAGCAGACACTGTCCCAAACAAGGTTATTTCCCTGAAAAATGCCTTCGGTCTGAAGTTATGAGTAAACCTCTTGGTGTCCTGAATGGGTGAACATGAAGCTGAAGAATAATTACCTTGGTTCCAGGACTGAATTGCTGTTGGAGAGCTGGATATGTTTTTTAAAGACATGACAAGCAGCATATGGGAATGTGAGAAACCCTTGAAACAAGGTAAATGGGGGATATTCACTCTTTTTAACCCTGAGGGCTCTAACGTGGCAGCAAAGTGTCTTATGTAAAAAAAAACATCGGACTGTGGGAGTTCAGTTTGTGTTTCATGTCTTCTCTTATGTTTAACGTCTCTTTGGCATGGGAGAACATCGCTGTTAATTGCCTGAGCAGCAGCAGAAATTATCTTTGGGGGATATTTAGAAGGTGCTGCTGTTGTTAGCTACAAACAGGCTTAGTGTTGTAAAAGAGATGGAGGCATATGTTGCTCTGCAGTGGGAACTGGACAAATTGTGATTAAATCCTAGCCCTTCCCTGCTTTTCAAATCTATTTTGGGGGAAAATCACTGCCTTTGTCCTCCCATCTGTTAAATGGGTGTGCTGAACCTTTAGCTCTGCACCAGGTGAGGGTGGTGAGCAGCTGAGACCTGCAAAGAGAGCAGAGCCAAGGGGACACAGCTTTGTGTCATGCTTCGTGGGCTGAGGAGGGTCTAAAGGAGAAAAATCTGGACACAAAAACTCCTCAGCTGGACTGCCAAACACTGAAAACTTGGGAAGGGAATCTCTGTGAGCATGGACGTGGTGTTGTACCACGAGGAGCAGCTTAACCTGCTCTGGACTCGGTCCATGTGGTTTCGTATTTGGAGGAACACAGCACCAAGTCCTAGAGCTTGGGGGCTCCAGGGTGACAGCCACCTTAGGAACACCTTGAGGGACAGCATCCTCGCTTGCTGCAGCTCTGTCACCAATAACAAGACTTTAAATCAAGTTCTTGTGTTCAAATGCATCCATTTCACAGTTGCTTTTTAAATTTATAGCTTAGGAAGTTTCAAAACATGTTAAGACCCTGGGTTGTGTCGGGGTCATCATTTAGGATGAAAAGGGATGAGTTTTAGCAGTATGACAAGAGAAGAGTGCAGACTGCATGGGGCGCACACTGTCCAGCAGGGTGGTGCCCTGTTGTGGGTAATATCCATGGAGATTTCATCAGCTTAATTCATCGGACCTAAACAGAAATAATTTCCATTTGAAGGCTCTGAGTAAAGTCTGGTAATTTGCACATCATTGGTATGTCTGTCTTTTCTCAGTTTCAGCAAACCAGTACCCAAACAACAAACATCATTTTCTCCTCTAACCCCCAGGCTACTCCCCTTGCACAGAGTCCCCAGGCACCCAACCTCAGAAACCTGGGCAATGAGAAAGAGAGGAAGAATATCAGAGATATTATAGATGGTGGTATCAATTATTCCTTCTTCCAGTGGGTGACTTTGGGGTATTTTGCAAACAGTAATTTAAAAGGTTGAGAATGAGCATCCTTGGTCTTGTTTTAGAGGTGGGAACAGAGTTCTGATCCTGCTGCAGAACCCCAAAGACAAACTCCAAGTTCGTTCACCTTGGGCTCCCAGATCATTATCTATCACTAGTCATCTCCCTAAACTGGAAGGAATATACAATCCAAGAATAAAGTATTAATTAAAGGTCTAGACTTCTCCAGTCTCTCTCTTCCTAGTACACACCTCTTTTCTCTGGCGGCGAGGAGAAGGGATGCCTTGCTCCACTCAGAAGTTTATAGAAACGTGCCCAACTATGACACAGTGCTGTAACCTCAAGGGAAAGCAGTGGAGGGTATGAGCAACCCACTCATTAGGTCTTGGTGATCATCTCCTTGGCCTGAGGTGGCAGGGCTGACCTGGCAGAACCCCCAGAAGACTTTATCCCATAGAGAACCCGTTGGCGTTCCTGTTCAGCAGCTGCCAGTGCCGGCGATCAGCTGCATCCTTCAAACAGTGACTAAGCGGAGGGATCTCCACCAGCTGGGCGTGATCCCATCTCCTTCCAGCCTCATGATGCTCTGTGGGTGGAAGCCGCTGAGTAACGGTGCGTGGACGCCGTCTTTCGGCTCATGGGAGAATGAAATTGGCAAAACACTTGGGCCTCTCTGGATGCAGGTTTGCTCCTAGAAAGATTTAAGAGCAGGGCTAGAGAAGCACTGCTGCCTGGCTTCCAGCTGGGAGCTGGTGCGTGTCTCACTGGCTCAGGACATCAGCAGGACCAGCTTTGATCTGCCTGCAAGAGGTTGTACAAATACAGAAAAATTCAGCATTTTTGCAACAAATGGTGGCAGAAAGAGGTGATACCTGGAGCTCACATCAGTGGTGACTACAGCATTGATAAAATCTATTCATTTTAAATGAAACACAGTCCCTGTGCCTATAATTTCTCAATCTGCAAAGCAGAACTGCAACCACTTTGCCAGAGTCTGGGAGTCTGAATTCCTGCCAGATTTCTTTGGTTTCTCTTTGCCATCTTCAGCTACACAGAGCTGTGCTTAACTTGTGCATTATTTTGCTAATTCTTTTCTTTCTGTAAGCATCATATATTAAAAGGTAAATGATTCTTAAAGATTTTTGGGGCTGAACCTTAATGGCTTATACAACTTGTTTGCAACCTGAGACGTACAGGTCTCAATCTCTTCCTGAAAAAGTCTTTAATTTCTGAATTAGCTGGTGTGATGTTGAAGTCTCATGTTTGAACTCAGAGACTTTATTAGGGCCCATTGACATCTCAGGGCAGACCCCTCAGAACTCATTGCTGTCCTTCTAGAAATGTGCTGTCAGGAATGCTTTCCCTTAGCCTCATTTCCATTTTTCTCCCATTTCCCTCTTTATTAATTTTACAGTAATTTCTATGCTCTTTTCTGGAGTGCCTTCCAATCAGAGTTAAACTCTGATGAATCCTTTATTTGGTGCAGATTTTGTGTCTGTCTCTCTTTAAGGCATCAGCTTTCAAATGTATTTAAAAGCTTGCTCATACCTGCCATGTGTAAAATGAAAGACTAACATTTGGACAAAAAGGTCTCAGTCCATTATTTATTTAAACTGTTTATATTAACACAACAAATCTGGATGCATGGTGACTGGTGAGTGTGTAAAAGCTCTTTGACAATGCTGGGGTAAGAGGAGTGGAAACTGTTGTGGATGGAAATGGAAACTGATCCCAAATCTTGTTTCTGATTGGCATCCCTTCGCTTTCATCAAGCCTTGGCCCCCAAAACTCCAGCCCAATTAAAAGCACCTGAGCTGCCTCTCTGGGGAGAGACAGGTGCCTGTAGGAGGTCACTTCGTCTTTCTCCATGGCATAGGTCACTCTGCCCAGCTTGGGCATCTGTATTTCAGTGGGTGACTGGGGTATCATCAAGCTGAAATCACATCAGGGCAGTCCTATGAGATTCCTTGGATCTTCCTTTCATGTCCTTGTGTAGATCTCTCGTTTTCCCACTTGGCTCGAAGTGACACAAATGGATTTGTGGGTTGTGCAAGTTGTTTTTTTGTCCCACTTGGCTCAAAGATGGGTTAATTTATTGTACTGCATACTGCCTCTCTGTGCTTGGTGATGTTCTGGTGCCAGCTTTCACATGCACACACGAGATGACTGTGGGGTTGTGTCTGACACCTAACATAATTGCTTTTTCCCTGCAGAACCATGAAACTGTACGTCATCTTCCTCCTGGCAGTGGTGAACAGAGGGATCTCTAACTATCGGCCTGCAGAGGGGATGCCCTGTGAAATGGTAAGGATGCCTCCCTGCCCGGCACCGTGGGGTCCTGGTGAGGTTGGGACCCCATAGTTAGAGGCACTGCACAAATAATGATGGTTTCTGTGAAGGGCCCTCCCCCAAAGACCAGTTGGCAGAGGTGGGCTTTGCTGGGTTAATGGATGCTCTGCAGGCTGTTCTTGTTCTTGTTCCCTTCCTCACTGTGGCGACAGCACATAAAGGGGAAAAAAGGGAAGGGTCATCGTCTCTATTTTGTTCTATGGAGAAGCTGGTTGAAAGAAATGTGACCTGATTTCCCCAAGAATGAACATGAACCCTATAACTGAGACAGAGAAGGAACTTAGACCTCATATCTACTCCTTTATACCAGGCCTAAGCTCTTTGTGCTTTAAATAAAGCTTCTGAGAAACACATCTATAGCAGCTTTTGTAATAATGGCGAGTCTGACCTCTGCCCTGACACAGCATTGCTGCCAGGGGTGTTGCACCTGACTTCTACTGGAGCTAAAAAAAGGTGACAAAGCCTCTGGCTCCTGTACAAAATTTGCTCCTTGAATTTTTGCAAGCACCTGGTACAATATTATAAATGTTATTCATAGCTGGACTTGCTCCTTTCCCTATTCAAATACTGCTGACAGTAACAGGGCATTTAAAAATACTTATCTTCCTCTTTTTTTTTTTTTTTTTTTTTCTTTTTTTTTTTTAATGTTGACGCTGTTTAGCACAAATCCTTGAGAATTTCCAAAATAGGGAAAAAAAAATAATTTGCGAGCTGTACACATCTCCCTTATGGGACTCATTCCATTCCTGCCCACCCTGCTGTATTGCTGCACTTCCTGAATTCCAGAGAAATTAAGACCTAGTATATATAAAAAGATCTTGGGAAGGTGACTGGATAGCTCAATTCGTTGGCTGTCAAGGGGAGACTGATGAAACCGCTGTAAACATGACGACTTGGGTCCCATGTATCATAGTCACATGAATGCCGGGCGAGACGTGCAATAATCCGAGCAGATTTCGCCCTGTCCCATTTCTTGATGGGTCACAGATCAGGCTGATTGCTGAGAAGTAAACACATGCTTGTTTCCACCACTCCACTGTAAACTGCTTCCAGGAGGCCCACTGCGCAGGCCAAAAACCCCAGGCTGTGCGCAACGAGGCTGGGATAAATTCGGCCCCAACTGAAAACGCGCTGCAGCTGGGGGCTGGGATGCTCATCTGGTATAAATTAACAGCTCAGCATCGCTAAAGTCAGTGGGGTTTTGCTAGTCCTCATTTGCTGAGTGTTTGGTCCAATGGAGGGAGGAGGGTGTAAATCCAAACACATTTCCACGCAGCTTAAAGAGGCTGCTGGGTTAGCTGATGGGTCCGCTGGGACTCCTACTTAGTTCACGGGATGATTTTTTATCACAGCCTCACTGTTTTACACGTTACTTTCCCTCTGGTGACACCTTTAAAATAACAAAAGCTCAGAAATGGAAACTTTCATCCCAGGTCTCCTGTAAGAGGCATGGGTGAGAAACCTGTACCCTTTGTCATTGGCATCCTTGTTGGTGAACCAGTCGAGGTTTTATGGGGTAAAATGTCCCTACTGGGCTCTGACACCAAAGTGAGCTGCACCAATTAAACAAGTCATTACCTATTTACTGAGCCAAAGCAACTGCTGGCCAACTGTTTGCAAGACACGAAGCCACATGCAAGCGAAAGGTTTTCAGAAAATTGTACAATACCTTGTGTCAAGGTTGTGAAAGAACATACACATAGTGCTTATCCTGGGTCAGTCCATTCGAAATACCTGGGGAAATTGCTCAGACTTTGTTGCTCAGCCAAGCTTCCACCTGGGCAGCTCTTCTAGAGAACAGACACAGACACCTGGCAAGCACAAGCTCTCCCCAAGTATCTCCAGCCCAAATTCTTTGGTTCATAAAACTGCTGATATGGGAGCAAAAGGGCTTGGATCCAGCTGATTTGTTAGCAGAGCTGTTGGTAAGGTGGGTGACAACTTCCACCCAGTGCTGAGCTGGGAAGTACTGGAGGCAGAATTCAGATGATGCTCAACTTTTGAGTTGTTGGGTTGTATTTCCACCAGCACCTGAATGGAGCCAGACACTGTATGAACCAAATGCTCTTGCCAATGGCCTTTAATCAAACCGGTGACAGCACCGACCGAGCTGATGAGGTGGGAACATGAGACCAGCAAAAGCTTCGTTTCCAGCCTCAGGCTGCCAGCCCGTTGAGCTGTGGGGGGAGAAGGAGAGATGCACAGGCAAACAAATGCTGTTTGCTCAGTCCCACTGAGAAGTGCTTCATCTTCCCTTCCTGGTGCTGATGAGATCGAAATTCATGCAGTTTGAGCCTGGAGGGAGAAAAGATGGTGCAGAACAGACTTGGTAAGAAAGTCAGCGATTATCAAAACAGTCAGTGAAAAGGAATGAAAATCATAAAAAAAATAAAAAAAATGGGAGGGGAAATGTTGTAGGAACAAATGGCAGACTGTGGGAGGTATGGATTTTATCAGACCGTTTTATGGCTGGGAGGGTTCAGTGCAAGCAGACTGAAGGCCCAATCCTGCAAGATACGTGGTGGATTGGGACTGACCTCTCCTTCATGGACCTTGATGGAAATGGGCCAAATGGTGCTGATGGGCATTGGACCAGGCTTCAGTGCAGGGTGCTCAGAGGGAGCAGAGGGTGCTCAGTGCTTGTTGAGATGTGGCTCAAGGTGTGGGAAGAGATCTGGCATCTGTCTTGGGCTGCAGAGGCTGCTTCTTTTTCACTCTGGATGTGTGCATCTTTTTGGCTTCTCCCTCTTCCACAAATGGAACAAGAAGGCGATTCCTGCTCTGTTCTATGGGGCTCTGGGCTTAGCCCATCTCTGTATGTGTTTTAGCTCAAAATGAGCAATTTGACACTGGTTTTGCAGGCAAGAAATAATGGCTGGAAGAAGTCAGAATATTCCCTCCTCTCCTTTTCTAATTTGTTTATTTTGGGGAGATCTGAAAGAGCTGGTTAGAAAAAAAGAAAAGAAAAGAAAAGAAAAGAAAAGAAAAGAAAAGAAAAGAAAAGAAAAGAAAAGAAAAGAAAAGAAAAGAAAAGAAAAGAAAAGAAAAGAAAAGAAAAGAAAAGAAAAGAAAAGAAAAGAAAAGAAAGGAAAAGAAAGGAAAAGAAAGGAAAAGAAAGGAAAAGAAAGGAAAAGAAAGGAAAAGAAAGGAAAAGAAAGGAAAAGAAAAGAAAAGAAAAGAAAAGAAAAGAAAAGAAAAGAAAAGAAAAGAAAAGAAAAGAAAAGAAAAGAAAAGAAAAGAAAAGAAAAGAAAAGAAAAGAAAAGAAAAGAAAAGAAAAGAAAGAGTGGGTTCAACTTTTAATAAGCCATTATTTCAGATCTTTAGAGCAGCTTGGGTATATCTAGAGTTTAGATGAGCACTAATATCTTTCTGTCACATTTTTATGAGCTTTCAAAAACTCACATGATGCAAAAGAGAGAGTTACAAAATGCTGACTATTGCCCCACTTCTCACAAACAGACCTGCCACTTCATTCACCTAGAAGTTCACATGAAGCAGATGGTTTATAATATATATATTTTATTTTAATGTTTCTGTAATGTCTGAAAAGCTAATACAAAACTTTGCGTCATGGAATCTGGATTCCGCTTCTTTGCAAAAGTTAAGATTCAGCCAAATTTTTCTCTCTTTTCTTTCTGATCTTTCTACAAACAGTACATGACCCGGTCACCCATATACATTCATAACAAGAGTTTCCTTTCAGTAAATTAAATGCTGCCTAAGCCTTTCACATTCCTCTTCTTCCTGCTGCTGTAAGTTCTTCCTAACAACAAAATACAGCTTGACATTTATGCAAGGATGATTATCTTCATGTTTCCAGTGTTCCTTATGAACACACACTCCAAATTTTGCTTTGGACACAGACTCAGTCCAAGCTGCAATTGAACAGACATGCATTGAGGAGATGAATTTGATAAATAGATGAGTTTTTCTTTACTCTAGTGCTTAGAAGTGAACAGAAAAAGTGTGACCCTCACTTGACATCACAGCCTTTTTCCCTTCAAAAGCTGGCTTTACATGATATGTTTTCCCTGTTGCATTGGGAATGTCTTGTATGGATGGCATATGGGGATGGAGCATATGGATGGAGCATAAAGCATGTGTGAGAAGATAGGAAATGTTGCCTTGGGAAAAGGATAAATATAGATGGTAAAAACAGGAAGAGTTTAGAGGTTTGCATCAGAAGTGTTTGAGTAGTTGAATGACGCATTTGTTTGAGGATGCATTGCTTACCTATGCCATGGCTAAAGCAAGGCACAATCAAATACCTGAGCGGTGTGACTAACAAGGAGAGATAGTTTGTACCATAGGATCCTTGTCTTTCCATTTCCTTGCTTTTGAAACTATGCTGCCAACAGAGAGGAGCTTTTCAAAGCACTTGTTACTATTGCAAGTGGAGTTTGCAGAAACTAATTGAGTGATTTAGGATGAAGCTGAGAAAAGCAAATATCAGGAAAAAAAGAATGTTTGATTGCAATGGAAAGAGGGGAAACTCCTTCACATGGGACTATTAAAATAAGCCTGGGAGAAAGGTATAAAAAGGAGAATGTGTAGTAGGTATCTCTTGCGGATAGCAGATACAACTCTACTGGTCTTTAAAATGAAATGCGTGCTATCCCTTCCAACTCAGGATATTCTATGATTCTATGATTCTAACTGTTATAGCTGTGGAGAAGCATTAGGAGGACTTTGTTTGCTGTCTGAATGCTCAAAAAAATAATAATGTGATCAGTGTTTCAGGAGAAGGATCTAATTGACTGTTGAATGCTATTTTCTTTGCATTTCATGCAAATATATTTTTCCTTTGTCAAGTGATGACCCCTTTTCTCTCTTTCTTTTTCTGGCAGACAAACTTGCAGGTATTTTGCCACAACAAAGACCTTCGGCAAATCCCTCATGAGTTCCACTCAAACGTAAACAAAATTGATCTGTCTGGAAATCTGATACAAAGGATCCCTGAAATGCCATTACCATTCTATACTTCTCTCCAGTGCCTGGATTTAAGCTCTAACCAGATAAGCTTCATCGCGCCTGGAGTCTTTGCACACATGACAAGTTTGCTGGAAATAAATTTAGCCAACAACCACCTATACGAGCTTGCTCAGAATGGGACAGAGGGGATCGGACTTTTACCCAAGGTGGAAATACTGGACTTGTCTCACAACAGCCTCTACAATGGGATGGCTGAGTATTTCATAAAGCAAGCTCCAGCACTGCGGTATCTTTCCCTGGCAGACAACAGTATTATAATGATATCGCACAAAATGTTTCGGGGTTCTCCAGGTCTTGTGGAGATAGACCTTCAGAGCAATATCATCATGGAAATAGAGGAAGGTGCTTTTGAGACTCTAGTGAATCTTTCCAAACTCAATCTCTCCATGAATTCAATTACTTGCATCTCTGATTTCAACCTCAGGCAGTTGGAGATACTTGATCTTAGCAGAAATAGCATCGAGTCCTTCCACACCACAGAGTCAGATGATGAGTATAGCTTAAGAATTTTGGATCTGAGTGAAAACAAACTACTTCGCTTCCCTGTCTTCCCCCTTGTGAACAAGCTGGTAACCCTGAATTTATCAAAGAATTTAATTCAGTTCAGTACTGAATCCTCTCATAATAAAATGGATTATATGAAGAATGACTGGCTAGATGCTTCTTTTCTTCTTCTTGATCAGAAACAAAGTAGAAACAAAAGTTCTCTTAATTTATCCCAACTTGTGTATTTAGACTTAAGCTACAATGAAATCAAATCAATCCCGAATGAATTCTTTGAATCGATGTTGTCCCTTCACACCCTTAATCTCAGTAAAAACTGTCTTCAGTCTTTTGCAGTAACTTATGACAGTGCATTGATCTCCCTAACCGTCCTTGACTTGAGCTACAACTCTTTGCAGAACCTTCTCCTGGACTCTGTCACACTGTCGAATTTGAGGGAGCTCTACATTCAAAACAACCACCTTCAGACCCTGCAATTTGATATCTTCTCAAGCCTTCCTAGCCTCAGACTGCTTAATCTACAGAGCAACAACATCAGTCTTTGCAGCATGTACTCAGGATTAGCTAAGCAGAGACTTGTTGGGGAGGAGAGTGGTTGTGTGTCATTCGTTGATTCTCCTGCTCTTCAGTACTTGTACCTCGCTGACAACATGCTGAGCATCCTGCCAGCGTACACTTTCTACAAGACTTCTCTGATTGCTTTGGATATCTCCATGAACCCAGGCCTGAAAATTGAAGTCAAAGCACTATCAGGACTGGAACGGTCTCTTGAATACTTGCATTTACATGGCAATAGCCTGATAGAATTAAATATTGACTTGCCTTGTTTCAGTCACCTGAAACACTTAAACCTCTCCGAAAATCAGCTGAATTGGCTGCCTAGGTGGGGTAGCGACTCTCCACTGGAAGTTCTGGACCTACGGAACAATAGGTTTAGTTCATTACAGAACAGCAATATTTTAGCATTAGAAAATTCTCTTAAAAACTTGTATCTCACTGGTAATCCACTCAATTGCTGTGGAAATATCTGGCTCTCATCGATGATCCAGAACAAAAACGTCCACATCCCCAACGCAGAGCACTTAATGTGCCAGCACACTCAGAACTTTGGGTTCCAGGAAGAAATGCACATTGGGAACATTAGACCAGAAGACTGTGAAAAAGAGGATCTAAAGAAAATCAACTTCCTTATTATATTAACGTTTGTGCTGGTTTTGTCCGTGATCATCATTGGAGTGGGTTCATTTTTTTGCTTCCGCAGGCAGAACTTCAGCCATCAGTTTAAAGCATAGCACGCAGATTGCCTTGAAAACCAAATAAATCAGGTGCTACACTGTCGGTGTGTAGAAATGAAGGGTAAAATTCTCCTCTTTGATTTTTAACTGTGGATTTTAAGACAGTTTCAAAGTGCCCCTGAACTATACCACTATAGAGTTCTGGGTTGCAGGGACTAAAAGGAGAATTTGCCATGTTTTGTACTTGCTTTATTCACAAGCTGATCTGCCTAGAAAGTTTATAGAGTGATAGAAGAGGCCCCCTGTAAAGCCCTGTTGTTGTGAGGGAGATGAAATTTAAGATACTTTGTTGATGTCATCTTCATAAAAAGGCTTTGTATAAATTGAGTGATGTAACTGAAACACTTTTTTATGACGACATCAGCTTAGTAGAAAAGTTCTGCACCTCCATGAGATATTTCACCTTGCACTGAGATTTATTTCTTTCCTATCAGGTTGGAAATAACGTCTCCCAAATGTTGAACTGAAATCATAAAAACTGGCACCAGGGCAGGCTAAAACATGATGTTGCACTGTTTGAAACTGATTGAAAATCTCCCTGGAGTTCCAAAGCAATGAGAATTCAGCTAAGTGAGCAAATCGCATTTCATGCCTGATGTGCTCATGGTGATCATTTAGAAAAACCATGGCTGACCATGGAAACCACAGACCTTAGTGGTAGCAAACTCTGTGGACATCTTCCTTTGCTTGTAGTATGTTGCTGCAGCCATTGGGGCAAGGCTTGGGAGGAAGATGAGATTAATTATACTAGTCTTGGCACTTAACACCCACCAGGGGTGTAACAGAAATCTCAGGTGTGAAGCAGCTGCACTAAACGTTACCCAGACCTGCTCAGAAGGTCACAGGTCCACAGTTCAACTCAAAGAGGAGAAATTTGCCCCTCACGTGCAATACATATTTAACTGGGTTTAATGTGAAGAAATTCATCTCTGGGGTGAGCGCTTTCTAAAAGAAGTCTTAGAGAATGAATTTCAACCAGCTAACATTGGACTGAAATGTTTATATTTCTAAGGAAAACTGTTGGGAATTCACTGCATACAGATACATTTCAATGCAAAAAGATAACATATCTATTTTTAAAGTTCACAGGAGGTTAGGCAGGCAAAACATGTTTTAAAGATACAAACGTGAAGCAAGATACAGGGAACCGAGTCCTGGGCCATTATTCAGATCAGAGGTCCACTATCTCTCTAAAAAGAGATTGTGGTGTAGAGGACTGGTTGCAAGAAAAAGTCTGTAGATCCTCTTTCTGTGATGGGTTTAACACGGCCAACCCATTGAGTCACTAAAAGCAGGCACTGACATATGTTATGTCCCGTATCTGATAGCAGATTCACCCTTTTGAAGTGAAGAGATGCTCACCAACAGTGGGAGCCTGACCTACTGATGGCATCCAGTGGCTTTGAAAGGAGCTGTGTCAGGTTTTCCGATAATGCCAGGAACTGTACATTTAGGCACATAAGAGAAATAGAAGTCAAACCCAAACCTGTCCAGGTAAATAACTCAAATTGCTGCTCCACTTCTGTTTCTTCCAGCTAGTGAATGTCAAAATTAACACACTACAAAAAAGATGTATAATTCTATTTTTCAAGCAGATATGTAAGAAACTGGCTGGTAGATTTTGTTGTGGGATTTTGTATAATAAAAACACCTTTGGATTTTGTAAAATACACAGGGATGTGAATATATTAAAGCACCAGCTTGGAATACTCCACAGATGAAAGCAATGTCTTCCGATTTTTTTCTACGTTGTTCAGACTCCACCTTAGGTCTATAATGTCTTGTCCCAAAGCAGGGACACCTGGCATATACTTCAGAGGGCAACCAGTGAACATCAAGATCTACTGAAGAGGTAGGCAAGTGGTGTTGAAATAACTCATTTGCACGACCAGTCAGCAGCACCAGGACCTGGTCTAGCATTTGAATATGAATCAGAGAATAAAAAACATATGAATCAGAGAATCACAGGCTGGCTGAGGTTGGAAGGGGCTTGTAGAGCTCATCTGGTCTAACCCCCTTGTTCAAGCCAGGGCCAGTTAAAGTGGGTTGCCCAGGACACTGTTCAGACGATGAAAAGCCAATGGAAGCCAACGCTGTGCCTTGGATCAAGCTCTGTCTCTTCTAGGAGAAAGTTTGCACAAGCAGCTATCTTGGGGCTTAGTTGGAAGCCAGATGCTGAAGTCTGCAAGCTTTTCCTTCGGTATGAAAGCAAGCTTCGCTGTGTGCCCAGACATGGGCTAATTGAGCCATACTCCGAATTCATGCCTTTTGTGTCAAGCACAGAAAGATTATATCTCCTTCTGAGAGCCAGTATTAGCTTGGCTGCCATGACTAGAATTAGTTAATAACCTGACGACAGAGCCAAACCCATTTAATTAACAGTTTTAACACTGCTTTTGTTTGGCTCTACCAAAAGGAAGTGCTTGTTATTACTAAACATCTGGGACTAATTAGACTTCTATTGACTTCCATGGGAGCAGAAACAGCTTTCTCGAGGAATAAGTCCCAGGAGTAACATGCAGCATGGCTCATTTGGATTTCTCTGTTAGCAGCATAAGCAGCCGAGAAGTGACATGAGCCTGCTCTGGCCAGCTTGGTTATTTTAAACAGGATGAAGAGAATGAGGGAAAGGAAATATGAATAAAGGAATGAGGAGAGGGAAAACAATGAGAAATGAAAAATTTCCACACTCTTATTCCTCAAAATAGGGGATACACCTATATTAGTCCCAAATGTTGAAGCCCAAATACCAAAGTGCCTGATCCTACATCAAATGTAGCTGTTACTCACACCTTACACATCTTCCCAACACTTAACCACATCATCCTAATAGTTTGAGAGGATATAGGCAGCTTGGGCTTTGATTTTATAACCTCAGTTTGCACCCTCATGCATTGCTCTTTCATAAATTCCCTGCAACAACATCTGCTAACTCAAGGGGAGTTTATGCTACTCAGCCAAGAAATTTCCTTCTGGGATTCTGAGATGTGTAGCACAGCATGTGCAGTATGTGGGATTTATACAACCAACACTGTATAAACTTTATATATATTATTTTTTCATGCAGCAAGTAGCTTCCTCTCTGCAGCTGTTTGCACGGGGCGGAACAACAGATCCAACAGCTCTCCTTCAAATAATTCCTATCACAGCTTGCTACACACGAGACACTAAGCGGTTCCTGTGGTTTGTTCCCAGAAGTGATTCTTTGCAGCGGGGTCAGGCAGACATAAGCACTGGAAGCACTGGAAGCACTGGAATACTCCCAGAGAGGGCCCCTGGAAGTTCAGCAAGTCGTGACTCATTTGGGCAGCCACGGAAAGTCAAGTCCCAGTTTCCAAAGGCGTGAGCTCTTCCTGCAAAGCCAAGGCAAAATAATACCCTAGCAGAGTACAGTGCCTCTGTTTCCAGAGCTCTCTGCAAGGACCCCTATCAGCCCTAAATAAGCCACGTACCATCAAAAACAGTACAACTCTTACGATATTTGAGAAGGCCAGAGCATTTTCTTTCCTGTTCCTACCCATTCCCCAATCTATTCAGTACCCTTTTGCTTGCCTGAGGAGAAACAACCAAAACCAACAACCTGCCCCCCCTCTATTTCCACAGGAGAGATAAAAATATGTTTTACCTTGCATGACAAAGTATCCTATGGTCATATCTATTATTTTCCATAAACAACTGCTGATTCTGTGCACACTTGTGCAAAGGCATAGATGCATACAGGTCAGTATAAGAAATAGATCATTTAAGGATTAACATTGCTTAATCTAAACTAAAACAGCCTGTATTAAACGATTTTCTGTAATAGAAGCCAGCTTGTGGTACCAGTGCCTCTATACTCCTGTTTCATGCCTGTCTGTGTGAAGCAATCTGATCAAGATTTTCAAAAGTGATCAGTGATTTCTTTCAGGTGCCTACATTTTCAGTCTGCATCTGGCCAGTCCTGAAAGAAGACTGATTTTCCAAAAGTCTGGGTCCATCTCCTCTCAAAACAAGACCTCTGAAGTATGTCTTATGCATTCCCCTGCAAAACTGAGACCAGTCAGGTTCATACGTCCTGCTATCACTTGAGACTTTCCTTGCTAATGATAGTTGTCCACCATGTCAGAGTAGTGATGAGCATTTGAAGAGCTGAATTACAGCAAAGCTGCTCATTAACAGCTTCTCTGCCCGGTAGTCTGCTCCCTGCAGGATCATGTTAAATACCTCATTACCCACAGAGTAACCATTCACCTATAGTTCTGGCTTCTTTTTGGGGAAAAAGGAGAATTTTCCCTAAGGAATGGGAAAAAAAATGAAGTTGAGGGTGTTCAGCTTTCTGGCAATGCCACAATTATCCAGTTGGAGCATGGAGCAGGTTTTGATCTCATGGGTTATGGCTTGATGAGGGAACAAACAGAGTTGGCCAAGAAATGGGAGGAAATGGGGATGAGCAGAGAGCCTTTGGAGAGCTCAGGGGGAAAAATGGAAAAGGGGGAAAATAAAGTGTTGGTGCAATTCTCTCCAAGCCAAAAAGCATCATGGAGAGGTGAAAATCCTCCAAAGGAATGGGTGGTAAGTGGCACATACACACTGCTCCCCAGCCCAAGAGGTTAGAGCAGATCTGTGAAGTTTCAACCCATCTCTTGTAGTGGAAAAGTGAGGAGAGAGCCCAGGAGGCAGATAATAGAGCAGAAATGAGGGATGATAAAGTAAGAAGTGAAAGATGGGAGAAGGAAATGGAGTAGAGAGATGGTTTTAGTACAGATCAGATCTCCACGATGGGTAACCAAGAAATATAAGAGGAAACTGAAGAGCAACCAAGGGAGAGGGGTGGGAAGAGGCTAGCGTGGAAGACGTCAGGGCTGAGCTATGCGGAACAGAGGGAGACCCAGGTAACTCGGCCAGGTGACGTGCTAGCTGCCCACAAATATGTAGTGCATGTAAACAGAGGACATCAGCTCATGAGGGGTGACAAACGGGAGCATAGAGTAACAAGGGAAACAGGATGAAACTGAAACGGAGGGGAAAAGAGACTGATTAAGCAAAGGGAAGGAAGGCCCGTCAGGCTGTGCAACATTCTTTCGAAAGCAAAGGCATTTGGCGGCTGATGCAACGTGATATTAAACAGATTTTTGGCAAATATCAGGGAACAGTCCTGCAGAACTGGGAGGGAGGGTTCACTTTTTTTCCCAAGCTATTGATCATGGCTGCTCTGTTGTATTGCAGAGCCAGGTTACTTCCATGGATTTTCTCCTCCTGTCCATTTCTAGCAGGCGTTACATCAAAGACATACACTTTCCAGGCTCAAAAAGGGGTATCAAGGGTTGCTTTGATGTCATGATTGTCTCCAGGAGGGTGAATGAATTTTGAAAACAGCAAAGGTGGCATCAGGAAATGCCCGTTTATGAAGAAACATTCTGGAAGGTGACACCAGAAGAGATTCCTCCTTAATATTTATGACTTCCTCATAAGGAAGCTTTGTGGATGACACCAAGTGGAGCAGTGATTACATGCTGGGGCAGAGCAGCTATTCAAAAGGATGCCCCATAGCAGAGGAAGTTTCCTACAGAAACTTCATGAAATTCAGCAAAATAAGAACAAAGACCTGCACCTTGGAGAGAACAAGCTTGTGCAAGCCTCCAGCTTGGGGAAAAACCAACCATAAAGCAGCTTTGAAGAAGAAGACCTGAAGGCCCTGGTTGACAACTTGTCCATGGATCAGTGTCATGCCCTGGTGACAATGAGACCTAGCTGCATGCAGAGCTGTATTTGCAAAGGCTTAGTGAGGAATTTAATTTATTCCCCCCTATTTGGCACTTTTAACACCACATCTGGATACTGTGTCCAGCTGTGGGCCTCCCAGTGTAGAGGAGATATCAACAAATTGGAACGAGTCCAGCAGAGGCCACCAGGGTGGTTGGGGAGCTGGGGCATGTGATAGCTAAGAAAAGATAGAAGGAATAAGGTTTGTTCAGCATGAAGAAGATGAGACCTTGGGGGGAAATCTTAGCAAAACTGGAAGGGCAGTTACAAAGAAGACAGCACTGGATGTTACTCAACAGCTGACATTGAAGTCAGTCCTGTTCTGATCAGGGAGCTGTGCTGGAGCATGCCAGAGGCTCATTCCAACCTGAATTATTCTATGAGTCTCTGAAAAACAAGGATAATGGGTCATAATTTTAGGTGGGGAATAGATGAATAGAGAAAAAAATGAGCAACAGAGTCCATTGGTGGGTCCTGCCTCCTGCACTGGAGCTGAAGAAGGGATTTGGCAGCATAAGTGTCCAGAGAGATGGTACAAGTGCTTGGTGATGTCAGAAGCAAGTGGAGCTGGTCAGAACATGCAGATCTGAATTCATATCATATTTGCTTTAATATATATATATATAGCTCGAGATTAAAATTAAAGGTTTCAAAATTTTTCATGAAAATTCTGAAAAATGTAGAGCTGGGAATTGTTTGTTTCATAAGGCCAGAGCTTCAGTTTGAATTCAGTTCTTCCTGTTGCAGTAAACACATTCTGGTACAGCAACAAATCATTGCAAAGTTCAGTTCAGTTTTATTATCTTTGTTCTGGAGAAGATGAGGAAATGTTTAAATCAGCCATTGCTAAATAATATCCGCCTCAGTTTTACTAAAGTAAAACATATCAAAAGTAAATGTTTTAGGCTGTTGAAACTAATAAATATTTTCATGTTTTGGCACATCAAGTAGTGCTGGAGCACAGGAAGAAAATAAGACAAA